AATAAGTAAAAATTGGATAAAAGAGCAAGTCAAATCTATTCATCATTCTCTAGGTTATCTATCCATATTATATTCCACAACCATTCTGCTGCGCACAAACTCTCAACATCAGTTACGACACTGTGATTGACATTCTTTTTAAAATAATTATCTTGCCAGTTAATTGGTGTGATTTTAATTGTGAGATCCATATAAATCAACGATTGCGACAATATTTCTAAAATAAATAATAAGATTCATGTACTTCCCTGAACAATTAACGAAATTTTCGTCCATCAAGTTAAAAAAAAAAAAAAAAAAAAAAAAAAGGTTCTCTTTTGAAATAAGGGAATTGAATGTTATAATTTAATTAAATGATATTTCTATCAATAATTATTATCATCATTATTAATATACCGACAAAAATGAAGATTCAAAGAGTAAAGTGAATCTAATTGTCGGGCTTGTCTTATTCAATGAATGATAAATTGGTAGTCATCTCAGACACGACTGTGATTTAAATTCTTTGTTAATAATTATCGTGTCAGTTAAACAGTGTGAGTTTAATTGTGAGATCGATCCATATAATTCAACGATTGCAGCAAAATTTTGAATATTGATAGTAAGATGCATGTACTTCTCGAACAACTTATGAATATATCGTCTATTGAGTGAAAAAGGAGAAAGAAAAAGTTCTCAATTTTGAAATAAGGGAATGGAATGTTAGAATATACTTAATGATATTTTTATAAATAATTATTATCATCATTATTAATATATCGACAAAAGTGAAGATCAAATAGTAAAGTGAATCTCATTATTGGATTTGTCTTATTCAATGAACAATAAATTGATAGTCGTCTCAGTCACGACTGTGATGACATTTTTTATGAAATAATTTTCGTGTCAGTTAAATAACGTGAGTTTAATTGTGAGATCCATATAATATATTCAACGATTGTAGCAAAATTTTGAATATAGATAATAAAATGCATGTACTTCCCTGAATGATTTATGAATTTGTCGTCTAATGAGTGAGAAAAAAAAAGTTCATTTTTCAGAAATAGGAAATGGAATGTTAGAATTTAATTAAATGATATTTTTATAAATACTTATCATCATCATTATTAATATATCGACAAAAGTGAAGATTCAATTTATTCAATGAAAGATAAATTGATAATAGTCTGTGATTGTCATTTTTTATAAAATGATTATTGTGTCAGTTAAATAATATAAGTTTAATTGTGAGATCCATTTAATTTAACCATTGTAGCAAAAATTTGAATATAGATAATAAGATGCACGTACTTTTCCGAACAATTGATGAGAGTAAAATAAAAATAAAAAGTAAAAGTTCTCTTTTGAAATAAGGGAATAAAATTTTAGAATTTAATTAAAAGATATTACTATAAATAATTATTATCGATCATTATTATCTATGAAGCACGGACACGGACACGAGATACGGGTACGATACGACACGGATACGGTGACACGGCAAATTTCAAAAAAATAGGACACGGACACGACGGGGATACGCCTATAAAATTAATTATATATATATATATATATATATATATATATATATATATATATGTATTCAAAATATAATTACTAGAAGCTTGCACATTCATTTTTCTAATAACAAACAGGTATATATAAATACAAAATTGTAAATAAAATAATAACAAATAACATGACCAATTTTAATAATTTTATCTATGTTATAAGAAAAATATATACTTTCAGTCTTTCACCAAGTTTTATTCATGTAACTTAAAAAAAAAAAAAAAAGTCTTGTTCATGCAGAGAGATAATTGAAGAAGATGAGAGACTGAGAAAGGAAGTGAGAGAAAATAAATTTTTTGTGTTATACTCTGTTATTTGTAGTTGTTTTTTTATATTTTCAAAATTTTATTTTTAAACTTTTAAAATTAGTAAATTACATTAGGTACCACATTTATCTTAAAAAAAAATTACAAAATATACCCTGCCGTGTCCCTCGCCGTGTCTGTCTTTAAAAAAATTACAAAATATACCCCGCTGTGTCCCCCGCGTGTCCGAACCGTATCCAATAAAAAATAATTTCTGGACACTTCACAGAAGTGTTGGACACGTATCCGAGCCTCGGACACGGGTGTCGGTGTCCGAAAAGTGTCCGACACTGGTACGAGACCCCTGAAAGGAGTGTCCGTGCTTCATAGATTATTATTAATGTGCGGACAAAAGTAAAGATTCAAATAGTAAAGTAAATCTTATCCTTGGACTTGTCTTATTCGATGAACAATAAATTGATCCATACTAGTCTAATTGACATTTTTTTTTGAATAATTATCGTGTCAGTTAAGTGGTGTGAGTTTAATTGTGAACTCCATATAATTCAACGATTGCAACAAAAATTTGAATATAGATAATAAGATGCATGTACTTTCCTGAATCATTAATAAATTTGTCGTCCTTTGAGTGAAAAAACAAAAGAAGAAAAAAATATATCTTTTAAAATGAGGAATGGAATATTTTTTATAAATAATTATTATCATCATTATATCTCATCAAATTTGTCATTCTTTATGAAATAATTATCGTGTCAGTTAAATGGTGCGAGTTTAATTATGAGATTCATATAATACAATGATCACAATTTTGAATATATATAATAAGATGGGTACTTTTTTTCAAAGGATTAATGAATTTGTCGTATGTCGATTTTAAATCGGGGTATTGAAATCGTCAATAATATCATTTTCCTTATTCTCATTGTTACTTTTGTGTTAATCCAATTGAATGTGCATGAATCTCTTTTTTTTCATTCCTTTCCATTTTTAACCATCTCTTCAACATTTAACTTTTTAAGTTAATTTTTAACAACACTATTCCATATTAATTTTAATCTCAGATTTTACTTCGTCTATTTATGTTTGAGTAATATTTTTATAAGAAGAGTCGTGAACTCTCCTGATTTTAAGATTAGATGAAACAACTTTTTAAAATACATGAAAAGTTAAATCAATTATTTAATATATAAAGCTCGTGCCACTTCTCATATAAAAGCATTACTCTTTTTGTTTTCATATTTGCTTTTTTTACATCAGAGAAAATAGTTATAACAATTCAATAAATATGTATAAATAATTATTAAATTATCAATTATATCTCCGGTTAATATTTATGAATTATACCATTTAAACAAGATCAACGATGGACAATGGAGGATGTTCTGTTACATCCGTGACCAAGTGTAGAGGCTGTAGACCAAAAACTGTACCCGCCAATACACACACACACACACACACACACGCATACACACTATTACATCCGTGACCAGCAGTCGACCAAATAGAAGAATCAGACCGTCCATCTGCTTTTACAGAACAACTCGTGATGATGGTCTCCTCTCCTGTCGTTTCTCAAAACGGTAGTACCATATAATGTACTCCTATGTATTTTTATTTGAGGTTTTTTCTTTTTCTTTTTCTTTTTTTTTTTTTTTAAAAATCCAAAATTAGAATCAAAATATATTACTCCGTACATTTATTTTTATCCACAAAAAACACAGTTACATACTCACATAACATAATTTAATTTAATTATACAAAACTTAGAGTAATAATCTGACTAAATGTCATGCATCCAACAATCGCGGAATGATTTAAATTACCACAATTTTATTTTTGTCCTTCTATTTTCGAAATGCCAATCATATTTTTAAAAATAAATATATCCAAACATAAGATCAGTGGATATGATAATTATTAGTTTAATGTCCCAAGCACATTCTTAATTTGTTTTTATAATATTTATTAACATTGGGTGAAAGTCTGGTTTTTGTCCACTACAATGTGAAAATGAGTAACAAACAGAGGGTTTTGACATCAAATTGAACTTGAGTGTTATTTTTTATTTCGGTTTGATTTTTTCTCCACGGTCACTAATATTAAAATGAACATTATTTATTCATCATGTTTGTCTCTATTGGAATAGAAAAATATTAAAAATCAAGAATGATATTTTTTTAATATTAAATCTATTTCTTTTTTCAACCCGTCATGTTAGTATTTGATGTTTTCATGAAATGTACTCATATATGGTCGTACAATTTAACAACCAAATGGATATTTTTTCAAATATAAAAAGTTTGTGGGGTCAAGCATAAACAGTAAGAAATTGGGGAGGACGGGTACAAAAAATTCTCTTCCACCGCATATATAGTTGCAATGTTCACGTAACAACAGTAATTCAAGAATACGAAAATATTAAATAAAAATATAATAATATTATAAAAAATTGATATAATATATTAAATTGGCCATATAAATTCATTTATTTTATTAAAAATAAATAAAAATTTAAAAATCCGAATTCCAATGCAAAACCTCCGCCCATAATATAATGTGGAAAATGATTAAGCAATGAAAACGAGAAAGACATCTGAATTGACTGTACATGTCAAAAACACAAGTCACTCTCAATGTGTGAATGCTCAGTGGGAAAGAGAATGTGACACTTAGCTAAAATACCCCTCTCACGCTCTCTCTCTCCATTTAAAAGTTTTTATTTATATTGTAAATCACTAAATTAAGATTCACATGGAAAAAAAAAAAAATTAATAATAATAAAAGCATTGGAAACCACCAAATCCAGAGACTTAATGGAAAATGAATAAAAGCCTTTTATTATTATATCTTGTTTTATTCTTGGACATTTAATATTGAGACCTAGACAAAGCAATTAACAAAATTTAAGTACAATAAACTCCCTTAAAAATAGGAAGATATTCAGGAGAAATGGGGTTGCTCTAAAATTAAAAAAATTAAAAAAAGAAAGTGTAAGATAGTTAACTTATAGTAGTATACAAGAATAGAGAGAGAGAGAGAGAGAGAGAGCTTCTGTTGTGCATCTCTCATGGACCAAAGTGAAGATAGAAAGTAAAAACCTTAGTCTTGTTCATCTTCACTCTCTTTCCATCCATGAGAAAAAGATGGTCTCTTAATCATTTTGCAAAGAGAAGAATAAATGTATATCATAAAACTATGGAGTATTAATCTCTCATTGCTTGTTTCTCATTTAAGTTTCTGGTCATACAAACAAAGCAAATTATATATAGCACTAAAAACAAACCAGTATCCTCCTATACAATCTCTCTCTTCTCACTTTAGTCCATTTGAACCAGACTAACAAATTACATCTCAAATCCTCCACAACAATCTAGGAAAAAAAAAAAAAAAAAAATCCCAAAAAAAGCAAAAATAAATTAACAAACGGAATTGAAATGAGAACTAATTAAGTACCTTTCTCTCTATATATATGCTTTTTCATTCATCAAACACTCAAGCACTATACTCATTACAAATCCAACTTCCAAATCTGCAAAACAACAAATCCAAAAAAAAAAATCATCAAAGCTAATTCAAGATAGCAAATGTATAATTGATATATATATATATATGATGTGGTTGTGTGTACATACAAACGATCACTGAGAGCTATTTGGGTCATCATCCCCACTATCATTGGCTTGATTCTGGTGCTGATGATGCTCTAATGGATGATTTTGCTCGGAGTTCATATTCAAACCAGCCCTTGATGAATAAGCATTGAGTGCAGCCAACATGCCCAAATTGGTCTCGCCCATGCCCAACCCAAGATGCTGTGATGGCTGTTGGTGCTGCTGCTGTTGCATCAACATTGAACCCAATTGCAACGGACTCGCTCGCCCCCCTTGAAATTCAAGCCCACCCGGCATGTTAAACCTCGGCATGAACTGCAATGGCGCTTGGAGTGTGTTGCCACTCGAGGTCGGAAAATGCCACATTTGTGATTCAGATAGGTTATTCCCGGATGTTCCCATGAATGGCTGGGCATTGCTCGCTGCACCAGGAGCAGTGACGGGCATCATCCAGAATGTGGAGGCAGATCCAGTGCTGTTATGTGCCGGAGCCACTGCCCACATGGCAGTCGCCGGCATCATATTTGTGTGTCGGAGCATATTACTGGATGACGGCCCTCCAGTTTCTTGTGCTGTGCTTTTGAATTGCTTGCTAGATGGTGAAGTGGAGTCATCAGCTGATGCCTCACCTCTAGATTGTTGTTGGGATTGGGGTTCGTCTTTGAACAAATCTTCCCTGAATCGTTTTCTCAAATAGTTCTCGGTCGTATCGCCGCCACGATCTCCGCCGCTAGGTAGTGCTTCCTCAATCTGCTCCGCCGTGAGAAGATGGGATTGTGGATGCTGATGCTGATGCTGTTGGTGGTGAAACCCTAACATGTGAGAGAAATTTTCTTCGTATGGATGGTGGGTCAGAGCCAAAGCGCCGTGAAAGGAGTGTGGTGCGGATTTTGATGGTGGTGCCGAGATGGTGGATCCGCTGCTACGGAGGGAGACGTTTAGGGTGGAGAAGTTGGCCGGAATTGTACCGGTTCCTGTGGCAGCGATGATGGCAGGCTCCGCCTGCTGTAGGAGCCACTCGATGGTCTCGCCGTCGGACTTGTGGCCTAGTTCGCGGGTCAATTGGAAGACGCGGGCTGCGCAGGTTGCCGGCATTCGAATACGTCGCCCACGGCCGTCCACCTTGGTGTGTCGGTCTTTTGTAGTCCGTTTTGGAGCACTTGTAGCAATTGTTAGGCTCTGTTGATTATTCTTCTTGGTGGGATCGGCCGGGAGACCAGATCGAGCTGATTCAGGTCTGGTGGCGATGGCGAGGGAGGCATCCACCAGCTGCGGCGGTGGCGCGATGGTTGAAGGGGCTGAACCAGTTGTAGATGAGGTGGATGGTGAAATGGAAGAAGACCCACTTCCGCCACCGCCATGAGCTCCACCGCTTCCGCCGCCACCACCAGTGAGGCCAGCTTGGATGGAGATGGAACCTATGAGATGAGGAGGCACCGAGCGACCATCGAAAGGGAGCACAATCTGTTGAGAAGAAGAAGGAGAAGGAGAAGGAGAAGAGTGTTTTTGTTGCTGTAATTGCTGATGTTGGTTATGGTGGTGGTGGGTGTGGTGGGGCTGTGAAGTGGCGGTGGTGTTTGGTTTATTGATCTGAGAATCTGTTAGTTCCATGTGTGGGGAAGGGTTTTTTCATGAGTTGTTTTTGTTTGTGGGTTAGTTCAAAGCTGACCCTTCTTTGGACCCTTTTCGTTCTCTCTCATGATTGATCATCATCGTCAACCCCCATCTCTCTCTTCCTCCTCCTTTGTTCTTGATAGAGTGAGAAAGTTAGAGAGAGAGAGAGAGGGGTAGAAGATAGAGAGAGAAAAACCCTTTTAACTCTTGCAGGTCTGGGCCAAACTAGGACTAAGAGTTCGTGGGGTTTCTTTGGTTACTGATTGACTGTTGTCTTTCCTTCCCCTTCAACCTCTAGTGAGAGAAAGAGGGGAGAGAGAAACAAGTTTGAAGGTAGGGCTGCAGGTGGGGGACCTTTGGAGGGTAAGTATAGCAGAAGCCCACTCGTGGGGTCTCTCGCAAAGGAATGTAAAAACAATGGCCTTTCTATTTGTACTGTTTTACACCCCCTCAATATATATCCATCTAGTGTATCATGAAATTCCACAATTACCCTTCGTCAACCCGGATGTTTTGTCCTACCATCGGGGTAATATCGTCTTTTGAAAATTGGTATCCCCGTTTTCAAAAATCATACCCAAAAAATTCAAACTTTACCACCGAAGCCAAGAAATAGTACTAGTACATATTTTTTATTATTTACCATCACACCCTCTCTCACTCACACACACACACAAATTACTGTTCTGGGATAGCTACAGTTGCAGCAGACCAGAATCTGCAGAATATATATACACATATATATGTATATATCTAGATATACATTCCCTTTTAATTTTATGAAACCCTAATTCAAAATGATTTTAAAACTTTGAATTTATCAAAATTGACATTGAAATGAACATTTTCCCTCTAAAACCAAAGTAAGTTTTGTTGTGGCAGAAGAAGAAAGAAATGGTGTGTGGTTTGGACACTTGTTATGTGGTGAACAAAGAGAGGGGTTGTGAGAGTCCAGGGTGGCAGATGGACAGCGCAGCTAAACATCAGATAAAAGCATCTAATGCACCGGGACAGCTCATCCCAACCCAACCCCACTCTTTTCTTTGTTAAATTTATTCTTTCTTTTATTTCCCCTTTTAAGTTTGTTGGCAAATTTTAGGGCAAGGTCGTGAAAAGACAAATTTGGACTCACTCATGAGAAGAGAGCAACAACATTACAAGAAAGTTGAAGGTGACTAGTTAGGAATCTTCACTTATTCAATTAAATTATAATTTCTTTATTCAATAATACCAATTTACTAAAAAAGAAAAACTTTAATTTATTCAATAAGTTTTTATTTAACCTAACTATTATATATGAATTATCTCTTTCATTATTTCACTCTATTTATAGTCATAAATTTCATTAATGAAGTTACACCCTACTATTTCCTTATACAATACATACTTTTTTATTATATTTATTTATTTATTTATTGTCCCTCGAAATTGAAAGAGGGCAAAGGGTGGGTTGATTTGGGGAACAAAATTTTTGAAAGTTTAAACCAAATTTGAATTTTAAATTGCTAAACTTAAATATGTCGAGTTATTGTTAAGAAGTCGAATTCACATGTAACTCGAAGTTATTGTTTAGTTTACTTTAATCATATAATCAATATTTTTTCATAAATTAGGTCAAATTTGGATTGAATGTTTCGTATCTTAATTTAAAACAAGAACTAACCACTGATGTAATTAAGTTAGGTCCATGTAGTGGTTCTTGGCATTCCACTTATAAGGTAACTGTTCAATGTTGGTGGTGCATGCAGTACTATTAATTTAAATTGCAATTAACACTCAAACATGTTCTATCATCTGATAAGTGATAACTATAATGTTTTATTATTATTAATTTATTATTATTAATGTTGTGTCATGCATTAATTCCACAAACAAGTTGGTGCATTCAATTGAAGTTGTTACTCTCATGCTATACAAATTTAAATAATTATTTTTTAAAAAAATATATTTATTTATTTTTATTAGCCAAGCAATAAAACACTTCCTTAAAAGTTTATTATTATTATATGGCTCTTATTTTATTTACTTCTTTTTATGGAAGAATAACAAACATGATTTAACTAGATTTAAATAATAAAAGTATGTTCCTCCATGCGAGCATAAAAGTTTATGAATCAAGCAAGTCAGATTTGCTGTAAATCAAACAAAGATGAGATAAGGCTCAACTAAATTTGGAAAAGGACATTTTTGTCCACTCATTATTAAAGATTCCAAGTTTTTGAAAAACATTGTAGGGGTGCCCAAATCATGAAATTCTTTATGAATTTTCAAACATCAACAGATAGTTTAATCAATCAACAATTCAACACTAATCATGCCAGGTAATTCCACTTGGACCCACTTTGTTCACCAAAAATAAAAAGGAAAAAAATGTGTGATGGTTTTTTTCTATTTAGTTAATGGAAAAAAAATCCATTTTTATAATTTAAGAATAATAGTGTCATTTTTAAAGTAAAAAATAATTTTCAATATAATTTTTCTAACTCAAACTCAACTCGAGTTCAAATTTCTGAGTCCAAGTTAAAGAGTTTAAGGATACACGGATTGGAGAATAATCCTACAATAGAGAGTAATAATTAAGTTATGCATTAGTTTATGTATTTTAATTATTTATTATTATTATTATTAACACAATTATACTGATTGATATACTCACATAGAATATTAGATATTCTTCTAATTCAAATAAACAAAATTTTAATATAATTCACCAACACTAATCAGCCAGGTAGTTCCACCTGGACCCACCGTCTAGAAAAAGGAATAAATAACTATATTAGTGGGAGTGGATAACCATCAAATATAACGAATTCAATTAATAACCACACAAAACCATCCCACATCCTAATCATCATTCATCCTCATAATATTTTATTCAAATAAAAAATACTTAATCCCTCACAAGAAAGAAGATCTCTCTCAATTATTATATAGTGTCTGACTAATCACAAAGTAACACATAAATAAATATATTAATTTTGTATCACGTCGGAAATATGCAATAATTTGTGATTGTATTGCACGAGACTAACATGTATTATAATTCATCTAATACAATTGTAATTCTTTACGGTATTATGTATGTGTTATATTGTATCGGAACGAATTTTGGCTTACACATGTTAAAATCCGTTCAATTGAAATTATATTGAAATCCGATTGAATAATATTGAAATCCTTTCGATGAGATACAATGCATAGAACACCACCGCAGAGGATCACAGCTCCCCTTCCACGGCAGGCTGCACACTGCAACAAAGGGATATATTGCTATTTTAATTTTGGTATTGTGCCTGCTAGAGAAGGACAGTGGTTACAGTGGAATTACTGTTCCATACATCATACCCTCTTTGTTTGGTTCTCCATATAAAAAGGGGTTCTTGATAGAGACCTTTCCATTGCCCCCTTTACCCTTCCTCTTCCTCTCTCTCTCTCCAATCCCATTCCAACTAACAAAATTTAATTAATTTTTTTTCTTTCAAAAATGGTACTGTGACAGGACTGCCAGAAATATTGAATGCCCCAATTTGGTCATGGAGTGTACTACTACTAATTAAAAAAAAAAAAACAATAATTTAATTGGTCAGTTTAGTACTGAAATTGATAGTATGTGTCACATTATCAATACCACTTAAAAGATACTAATACAATGCTGATCCTCATTTCTTTCTGTTCCCATTGACTTGCCTTTTAATCTCTCTTCACCACCCATGTACTTGCCTTCTTTGCCAAAAAAAGTAAATGGTGAAAAAAACTACTCTATCAATGATAAAAGCTGCTATTGACCCTGACTTTTCAGTGCTCTTCATTTCAATCCCCATATATAGCGGACGGTAAAAGTGAAAATTGGGAAATGAGGCTATTCTTTACCCTACAACCCCTATATTTTGGTACATTCCAACTTTAACCTTTTTTTAAATTTTTTTTTTTTTTTAAAGTTTTATGGGTCATCATTATCAATATCGATCGAGAGGCCTCTTCAGAGCTCACAAAGGCCCAATATATGGTATATTCAAAGTGGTGAAAGACATTATTATTTTGGTGAGATTTATCAAGAGGGTTTAAAAAAAAAATTTGGTTAATTAATTTATGATCTTGGGTGATGATAAAACGTCCTAATTTTTGCTAAAAGAGATAATTATGAACTAAAATTCACCTGTAAATTTATTTATTTACTTATCGTCTTATACTAGTAAAAAAATAATGCACATACTGTTGTACTTTTTTGATAAACTTGAACCATCAACCCTTCAGAAATAAAGTGTTAAAAAATAATAATGTTAAACAAGTTCATATAACTCATAAATATGAACCGGTGTTAGAGTTGACAATTTCATAATTATTTTTAAAAAATTATTGAATTGTTTTAACTATTTTATATGAAGTGTTAAAAAATAAATAAGAAAACATAAAATAGACGTGCATAGGTGATTTAGATATATACAACGAAGTAAAATTAAAGACTTAATTTAAAATGGAATACAGTTGTTAAAAATTATTTTAAAAAGTTAAATGTTATAGAAGAGAGGACTCAAAATAGAAAGGAATGAAAAAAAATTATTCAAGTGCATTCAATTGGATTAACACAACAATAATGATGATAATGATTATTTATATAAATATCCTTTAATTAAATTCTAACATTCCATTCTCGTATTTTAAAAGAGAGAACTTTTTCATTTTTTTTTTACCACTAGATGACAAATTCATTAATCTTTCGGGAAAACACATGCATCTTATTATCTATATTTCAAATTGTGATGTAATCGTTGTATTATATGAATCTCAATAAAACTCACACTGTTTAATTAACACGATATTTATTTCATGCAAAAATTCAATCACAGTCGTAACTAAGACGATTATCAATTCATCATTAGTTAAATAAGACAAGCCTGACGATAAAATTCACTTTACTATTTGAAACTTCACTTTTGTCGGAAGATTAATAATGATGATAATTATTATTTATAAAAATATTTTTAAATTAAATTTTATCAGTCAATTCCTGTTATTTTAAAAGAGAGAACTTTTTTTCTTTTTTTTTTACTCAATGGATGACAAATTCATTAATCGTTCGGGAAAGTACACGCATCTTATTATCTATATTCAAAAATTATGTTGCAGTCATTGAATTATATGGATCTCACAATTAAACTAACACTATTTAACTGAAGCGATAACGATTTCATAAAGAATGTCGATCACAGTCGTGACTGAGATGATTATCAATATATCGTTCATTGAATAAGACAAGCCCGGCAATGAGATCAAATTATTTTACTATATGAATCTTCACTTTTGTCGGTATATTAATAATGATAATAATAATTATTTATAAAAATATCCTTTAATTAAATTCTAACATT